CCACGGCAGCATTGTCCCCAGAACAAATGGCAATGTCCTGAAACACAGGCGTGGAAGGACTCCCTGTCCCTGTCCCTGTCCCCTGCCACTGGATGGAAATAATGGAATTCTGGGGAGCAGCAGTGTGGGAGGCAGATTCCTGTATCTCAGTGGCAAAGGCCGAGGTGGTGGCTGCTGCACAGCCCTGATTGCAGCCCTGTGTGCTCTGTGCCACCTCAGAAACCCTTGGCAGCCGTGCCCACAGTTCCCAGGGACAGGTGCACATGGCTTGGGAATGGCCAGGCACAGGCTTGGGGAAATGGGGGTTTTGTGGGTCACTGTTCTGTGAGGCCACGGCCAGCTGGGTGGATTGCAGCACTCTGAGCCTGGGAATGGGCTTTGCCCTTGTTTTGCAGGAAGTGCCAGAGCTGGAGGCCCTGGGCTCCCTCTGGAGTGGGAGAGCCTTGGGCAAGGTTTGGGGAAAACATCACTGTTCCCTACAAGGGGTTGTTAAAAATTAAATTTAAGAAAGAGGGTAAAATAACTGGTAAGTGTCTGTAGGGAATGCTGTGGGCAATGGAGATGTGGATGTGTTCTTTTGTGCTCCAGGCAGGAAGTGTAAGCAAGATGTGGAAAAGCCGTGATAGTCTGTGTGGGGCTGTCCCTGCAGATCCCTATTCCCTGGTGAGATGCTCTAAAATGGGCTGGGATTTGTCCAAAAGATCAGAAATGGGCTAAATCAGCAGCAGTGCTTCTTTGTGTGACTCAGCTGGGTTTCTCTGGCTGTCCCCTGCGTGCCTGGGCTGCAGCTGGCCAGAAACAGCCCTGCTCCTGGGGCAGGGGGAGCAGGGGGGCAAGGAGGGACAAAAACAGAGAAACCATGGCAGGGAGCTGGAAGTAGATGGTTTTAAAAATCCCTTCCAAACCCAAGCATTCTGGGACTCTATGAAAATACCTCCCAAGTCCTGACCTGCTGCTTTCTAGATCCCCACATGGAGTTTTGTGTCCCTGGTGGGTTGAGCCCCTGTGTCACACACGAGGCTGTGGCCATTGCAGGAAAAGCCTCTGAGGATGTGCCTGGCCAGCAATTAGCAGGGAAGGAGGTTAATGAGCAGGTTCTCTGGGTGCAAGCACGAAGATGAAGGGAGAGCCTTGTAATCTAACAGAGAGGAGACTGGAATCTTGGGATGGTTGGAGAACGGGTTCATTTCCCCCCAGAATTGTCCAGAACATGAGTTGTGTGACTGGTGGTGCAGTCACAGCCCGGTTTTTGGAGGCAGCTGTGAGGGGCTGTGTCTCTCTGGGGAGTGAGGAAGCCCTGGAGCTCATCCCGTGTCTGGTGAGCGCATCGGGGCTCGCCCTGTTCCCCTCCCGCGCTCCCGTGACAAAGGTGCCGCTGCTGGAGCGTGAGTGGGACGGTGATGTCATGGCAGGGAAAAATCCAAAGGTTGCGGAGGGCAGGGGAGCGTGGGCGCTGTCAGGGCAGCAGGGGGTGTCGGGCTTCCTCCTGAGGCACCAGCGGGGCCGCGGCTCCTCCCGGGGCACCGGGGTGGGGAATGGATCCGGGCCGAGCCTGCCGGGGGTCCGTGTCCCACCGAGGGAAGCTGTTCCTGCTGCTGCTCCGCCTGGCAGCCGTGCCAAAGCCTTGGGGGCATGTGGTGCTGAGAACGGGCTTATCCCGAACCTTCCCGTGCCCGGTTACACGTGGGGATGTCGCAAGAGCATCCCGGAAGGCTCCGGAGCTGCAGGAGTAGGGCAGAGGTGCGGGAAGCCCGGAGGACGTGTGGGTGCCCCCGGGCTTTGCAGCCCTACTGGAGGAGTTTAATGGTTTGGAGATCCTGGTGTAAATCATTGCCAGGGCAGGGCACGGGCAGGGAATGGATGGAGGGGTCTGGTTTGCAGGGAAAGGGAAGGGGCTCTAGGGGCTGAGAAACTCAGGCATTGCTCGCCAACCTGATGTGGGCACCAACTTTTTACAGGGCCTGCTGTGAAAGGACAAGGGGAGATTATTTTAAAGTCAAAGAGGGATAATTTGGACTGGATATTTAGGAAAAAATTCTTCCCTGTGAGAGTGGTGTGGCCCCAACACAGGGTGCCCAGAGAAGCTGCCCCGTCCCTAGGAGTGTTCAAGGCCAGGTTGGATGAGCTTGGAGCACCCTGGGATAGTGGGAGCTGCCCCTGCCCATGGCAGGGGGTGGGATAAATTGAGCTTTAAGTCCCTCCACCCCAAACCTTTCTGTGGTGCTGGGATGAGGTTCCAGGCAGGGTTGGGGCTGAGCAGAGGCAGCAGCAGCTCCTTCCCGGGATCCTGACGTCAGGGCACTGCTGGAGCAGAGATAGGAACAGCTCTGGGAAGCAGGAGAGCAGCTAATTCAATGGAGAAATAGACTGGAATAGCAAGTCTCCTCTTTAATCTGATTGCTGGCCTGATGGGTAGCACTGCAATGGATCTGTAAAAAACTTCCAGGCACAGGGGTGACGTAGGAGCTGAAATCCTGCCCATTTCCAGGGCTGGGGTGCCTGAGGGGAGGCACAGAGGCGGTGAGCAGAGATTTGGATACCATGGGTGGATGTGAGCAGCCCTGTGTGTGTTCTGTGCCCACCCTGGGTGCAGTGCAATTCCCCTGCCCCGAGGCCATCACAGCTGTTCTCAAGTGAAGTCTTGGCTGGCTGATGTGTTTGTGGCAAGGATGGGAGCTCAGCTGGATCATCAGGTGAGGGGAAAACTCCACAGGGCTCAAGCAGAGAGCAAAGCCTTTGTGTGGGAGGGCAGAGGGCAGGGCTGGTACCACCAGTGGCAGGCTTGGAAGTGTTTGGGTGGGAGGGTGGCTCTGGGGATGCAGGTGAGGACACTGTGGGTGCTTTCCATGTCCTCAACAGCTGCTCGCTGGGATGGAATTAAAGCTGGGCTCAGTGGGTTCCTTCCCCAGGAGCACAGAGAACAGGAACCTGTGCTGGAGCTGGCAAGGCAGGGAGTGATGGGCTTGTCCCTGCCTGCCTGTGGCAGCTCCCACTGCGCTGGGATCAGCAGCTCCTGGCTGTCCCAGAACCCCCAAAAACCACGGGGGCCAAGACTTTACCCTGCCCAGAGCCCTGTGGGGCCAGGGCTGTGTGCAGAGGGGCCGGGACACCCCCTGGAGTGTCCCCAGCCGTGCTGGGGCACAGGCAGGGGCAGGGAGGTTCCTCTGCAGGTTCCCCCTCCCCAGGCTGGCGTGCGAGTCTTTTCCTGCTGCACTCCCTCGTGTCCTGGGAGTGCTGTTCTATTCTGGCCCTTGACCCTGCAAACTGGGCGTGCACTCAAGCTAAACAAGCAAACATGAAACTTCTGAGCTCGGGAGGGTTGAGCTGAAGGGTGTGAGGGGGTGTGTGGATACAGCACCACTGACAGCACAGACCGCAGCCGCCTCCGGTCCAGCCTGCATAAAGAAGCCAGGGAGGGAAGGAGAGATCCCTGACACGGCACATCCACAAACCTGCACGGCTCACTGGGCTGGAGATGGGGCAGCTCTGCTGTGAGGATGCAAGCTGCCCACCCATGGGTCACTGGACCAGAGGCCAGGGAGGCAAGCAGGCAGGAAATGCGGCTCTGTGTGTTTATTTTTGGAAATCGAGCACATTTGTGACTGGTGACTTGGAGAACAGTCAGAGGAGGGGTTCCCACCCGTGGCCTGGCTGGTTGGGAGTGTTCTGCTCGACATCCCTGAGGGATGCTGCTCCAGGGAGGGTGAGAGCCAGCCTGGAGTGAGCCTGGGCCCTGCCAAGGGCTCTCCATCCCAGCAGCAGCCAGGGGAAGCCACGGGGTCGAGCTGGATGGGAGGGAGGCAGTTTTGGTTTCTGTTCTCTGGGCAGGAAGGCATTCCAGGGCAGGCAGCTAGTGCTGTGAGGAGCCCTGCTCCCTCCCAAACAGGGGGAGAGGAGAAGCTGCTCAGCTAGAGGGGTGTTGCTGAGCATTTCCAGGTTGGTTTGTATTGACAACAGCTCTCGAAATCGATTTTGATGGCCTTCTTTTGGTGCTGTGAAGCTGTCAGTTATCACACTCCTAAGGACAGGCAACCTAAGCCCTTAGCAAACATCAGTGATTGGATTGCTTCCAAAGGTTGGTGGATATTACAGCTGAGACAGTAGAGAAGGATGGGGATGAGGAAGGATCCAGGAAGGATCTACCCTGCTCTATGCTGCCATGAACTCCTCAGCTTGAGGAGAGATGGTTGAGATTTGTGAGATGCTCAGGCTCAGGGAGTGGTGCTTGGGGTGATGGGTGGTTTGTTAGATGGGGGTTTATCAATACCAATGACAGGAGTTTAGGTGGGATGATTAAGGAGAAGGTAAATCATGAAGTGAGCATGATAAAAAAATCAGGGGCTGGGGTTTAGTTGAGGCACACCATTAAGGAGGGGGAGAGGCCTCTTTCTTTAGCTTAAAAGGCAAATGCTGGTGTGACAGTGTTCACAGGGGTCCAAGGAAGAGGGAAGGGACGAGGATCTGACTCCATGTTTCAGAAGGCTTGATTTATTATTTTATGATATGTATTGTATTAAAACTATAAAAAGAATAGAAGAAAGGATTTCATCAGAAGGCTGGCTAAGAATAGGAAAGGAAAGAATGGTAACAAAGGCTTGTGGCTTGGACAGAAAGTCTGAGCCAGCTGAGTGTGATTGGCCATTAATTAGAAACAACCAACATGGGCTAATCAAAGATTCAGCTGTTGCATTCCACAGCAGCAGATAATCAATGTTTACATTTTGTTCCTGAGGCCTCTCAGCTTCTCAGGAGGCAAAACATAAGGAAAGGATTTTTCATAAAAGATGTCTGCGACATGCTGGCTCATAGCTTCTTAATGATTAGGATGATACTAGAGAGGATCAGCTTGAGATTCCAGTGGATAAACTGGTGCTGTGGTGGCTGCAGAGCCTTTGCTGTGTGCTTTGCTGTGTGTGGAGGAGTTTTGGACTGAGGTGATGTGGGACGGGAGGGCGCCTTGTTGTGTTGTTATGAGCATGCATGGGGCGTGTGAGGCGGTGAGCAGGATTGTGGCTCCTGTTAGGATAATCCTGAAGGCGGATCAGCTGAAAAGTGCCATTACAATAGTGAGTTCTGCTATGAGGTTGTTGGTGATGGAGTGGTGATGGAGTCACACCCCGTTTTGGTTTTTCCCGTGTGTCCCCAGAGCTCTGATGCCAGCAGGGCCGCAGCCGCCGTGCCCCGAGCCATGCGGTGACAGCGCCGAGGGCACAGCCCCCCGCAGCCATGGCCCAGTCCCGGGCCAACGGCTCGCACTACGCCCTGACGGCCATCGGGCTGGGCATGCTGGTGCTGGGCATCATCATGGCCGTGTGGAACCTGGTGCCCGGCTTCGGGCCCCCCGACAAACCCGGCGGCAACAGCAGCAAACCCGAGCGCGGCTCCGGCGGCATCCTCAGGAGCAAAACCTTCTCGGTGGCCTACGTGCTGGTGGGGGCGGGGCTGCTGCTGCTGCTGCTCTCGCTGTGCCTCAGCGTGCGCGACAAGAAGCGGCAGAGCCAGGAGCTCTCCATCGGCCACGTGCAGCGCCAGGTGTCCACGGAGCCCTCGCAGCAGGAGGACAGGTGAGGAGGGCTTGGGGACAAAGGGTGGGAATGAAGCCAAGGGATGTTGTCACTCAGGAGGATCTGGAGTGTCACTCTGATTTTTTAAGATTTTTCTAAGATTTTCTAAGATTAAGATTTTCTAAGCTTTCTGATGTTGACGTTCTTGTTGTGAACTTTCTCACACACTTGCTGTAAATAACTCATTGTTTTGCATTGTTTTATAGAAGAAGAGAAATTTGATGGACTGTTGGTTTGTCCAGTGTCATTGGAGAAGTGGCACTGTCACTCTTAGAAAACTATAAATGTTGGAGTCAGAAAATAAACTTCCCTTTTTCCTTCACCTTGAGAGCAGCAACGTGCGCTCGTGTTCTTTTGTGTCCTACAGCGACATCAGAGGAAGGCAGCCTGTGCTGAAATAAAGAAGCACAGACCATAGCTAAAGGTTTTGATGTGTCCTGGAGATGGGAAAGGAACGGCTCCAGCTGCATTTGTGCAGCTGTGAGTGGAAGGGAGCCCTGTTGGTGTGTGAGGTGGGGTCTGGGCAGAGCTGAGGCCAGGGCAGCGTTGGGAGAGGTGCCACTGCTGGCTGGGCTGGCACACAGGAGCGAGCTGAGGGAATCTGAGCAGGGTCCTGGGTGACACAGAGAGCAGCCAGATGGCACATAATGGAGAAGGGCAAAAACTGTTTCTAGTGGGGTGGGGTGGTTTTATCCTTCCCTCTCCATCCCCTTCCCAAATGAAGCTGTGCCACCCAGCCGTGACTCGTAACGCAGCAGAGGGGCTGGCTCTGCCTGGCTGGGTGCAGCCAAGGTGCCAAAGAGCCTTGGAGTTTAGACCTGGTGAAAGTCTGCAGGGCTCAGCTGTTTGCTCAGGGATTCTGTGGGGCAGAGCAAAGGCTGCTGCCACAGCAGGCACAGGCTGGACAAACACAGGCACAGGGGAAGGGCTCCCTGTGCAGGGAGAGAGGGGAGCACTGAGACTGTGTGGGGTGCAGGGGGACACGAGGGGACAATGGCTCTGCTGGCTCTGGTCTGCAGATCCTCAGAGAAAACTGATTTTTTATGTTTAATTGGAAAGTTAACTTCAGAATGCCAAAGAAATGGCAGGTATTGTGTGCAGGTACCTGTGCATAGATGGTGGCATAGAGTTGGATCTCTTTGCAGAAAAACCTGAGGTACCCAACCCATAAGACATCAGAATGACAATGTCCTTTTCCAATGTATTTTGACTGATTTTTGTGAGTGGAGGAGAGGAGAGAAACTGATGTTCTCTTGAGGGAAGAAATCACTGCTGGGCAATAGAAAAGGATCTGTGGGCAGAGAAAGTGATGATCAAATATGGCCATAAGTCACAAGAAAATAAAATCTGTCCAAACCTAGGTGGGGTCACCATTTATTCTGTCAAGCAAAAGGAAACTGGAATATAATGGAGAAGGGCAAAAACTATTTCTGGTGGGGAGGGGTGGGGTGGTTTTATTCTTCCCTCTCCATCCCCTTCCCAAACGAAGCTGTGCTACCCACGCTTAACTCTTTCCTCTCCAGCCAAGAAGAGGATGAGGATGTCTCTTCCCAATACTACGTGCCCAGCTACGAGGAGGTGATGAACACGGGCTACTCGGAGCCCAGAGACTCGGACAGGAGCACCAGGCTCAGCGTGTCCCTGCCCTCGTACGAGTCGCTGGCGGGGCTGGAGGAGGGCGGGGCGGCGCCGGGGGCGGCGGGCGCGGAGCCCGGCCCGGAGCGGGCGCCCAGCCGGCACAGCTCCCGCCTCAGCAAGCGCCTCAAGCCCCTCAAGGTGCGCAGGATCAAGTCCGAGAAGCTGCACCTCAAGGACATCAGGCTCAACCTGGCACAGGGCAACAGCAGCGTCCCCATCACCATAGAGCCCCTCACCCCTCCGCCCAAGTATGAGGAGATCCAGGAGAAAATGCCCGTGGGCCAGCAAATGCCTTAAAAAAAAATAGAGGAATCTGTGATGCTGCTTGGTTGAGGGTTTTTTAAAACCCACCGTGGCCAGAGGGGGTTGGTGTGTGGGGGCAGCAGCAGCCAGGGCTGTCTGGAAGCTGCCACGTGGAGGCCGTGCTGTGGCACAAGGATGGGACTCCTTTTCCCTGGGACTGGGTTTCACAAAAGACTGTGGGGAAAGAAACCTGAACACCACAATTCTGCTGCTGTGAAGTAAATGAAGGCTGGACATGCCAAAAGTGTCACTTGTGGTGTTTGAAATGAGACCACCCAGTGCATCCCTCATCTCCTCTCCCCCTCTCTGCCTGCAAGACTTTTCCAAGCCACCAAACTGACGTTGCAGAAGGATTTTCCAAGTGGAAAAGTGAAGGAAGCACGTTGCCAGAGAAGCACCAGGGCTCTCCCTGGCTCCCAGCTGGGCTGGGCTGGTGGCCCAGGGCCAGCCCTGACTCCTGCCAAGGTCTCTGCTGGCTGCTGGGGAGCAGCTGAACGGGGAGAGGATGGATCTCTGAATGGGGAGAGGATGGATCTCTGAAAGGGGACAGGATGGATCTCCTGCCTTGCTGCCTTCCCTGCTGTGTTCTGTGCTCCATCCGAGGCAAGGGGGTGACTCTGGGGGGCTGGGGGTGCCAGAGCCAGGGGTGGAACCACTGCTGAGCATCCTGTGCAGGCAGGCTGGTCTGAATAAATGTTTTGTATGTTGTGTTTGCTGTGTGCTTTGTACATTGTGTGTGGTGTACATTCTGTGTGTGTGTTTTGCACATTTTTTGTGTGCTTTGTACATCGTGTGTGTTGTGTACTCGTGCATGGTTGGCCCTTCCCAAGGTTTCTGATCCACCAGCAGATGCTGCTCCATGGGCATCCCCACCTCCAGCACGGAGCTGTGTTGTGCTGCCAGGATTGTTGCTTGGGAAAAGAAGAGGAAAACCCTGAACTGAACAAAGCAAACAGGAAAAGCTGAGCCAGGCAGCAGCAGCATGGCCAAGGTTTCCAAGGCTACTGCAGCCACCCTGCCAGCTGGGACAGAGCTGCTTTTGGGGTCATTTTGTGCAGTTCTGGTGCTTGAGCTGGTTGAGCCACTCGTGGCTCAGGTTGTGTTGGGTGGGAGGTTCCTGAAGGAGAAGTTGGTTTCTTGGGAAGCCTTTCCAAAGCACTCAGGGTGTTTCCAGCTGGAATCCGACACCAGGACCATCGGGAGCCACAGAGGGGCCGACATCGTCCTGCAGGTGGGGCTGAGGCAGCTGAGCATCCTAAAACGGGAGGGGGATGGAGGGAAGGGAAGGGGATGTGCACAGGGTGCAGGTACCGGTTTGTGCTGGGATTGACAGCCAGGAAAGGGGCTTGGCAAAGCAGGGATGAACCTGGAGCCACCTCCAGCAGCGTCCCCTGCCTGTCCCTCACCTGCTCCCAGTCTGCAGGGGGAGCAGAGCGCCGTGCAGCCCTGGAATTCTCCTCCTCAGCAGCTTCATCCTTCAGGCCTTAACTCCCCCCAGGGCACCTTTGTCAGCGGCTGCCAGGGCGGGGTGAGGCCGGGGCACATCTCCAGGGGAAGGTTCCCAGCAGAGCGCGGTGGGCGCTGCTGCCCAGGGAAGGCTCCAGAAGCAGGAACTCGCTCCCAGCTCCTCTGGGCGATCCTTGGAAAGGCGAGGCGGCACAAACGTAAAGCTGGAGCTCCCTCTGCTGAGGAAACTGGGGCAGTTTGGTAGGGAAAAGGAAAAGCGTGGGATAGAGATGCACTGGCTAAGGTAGATCTGGATTTCTTACATTCTAAAATCCTGTGTGTGATGCAGCAGATACGGGGGATTATTTTAAAATCAATTTTTATAGAAAGCGCCGTTATTTGTCAATAAGTATGACAATGACAAACTCTGTAGTTTCAGTATTTTACACACACGCACACCATCCCTGTGAATTTCTAGGTATTTTGGGGCTGTACCCTCCCTTTTTGGGGAGCCCGTGCTCCGCAGGATCGCGGTGACGTAGGGCTGCCCAATGACGTCATCCCCATGGACTCCAACTCCCAGCAGCCACCGCGCGGCTTCCTTCCGCTTACGTCATCTGTGCGCGCCGCGCGCGGGCCGTGCCGCCGCCATGGTGCAGCTCGGTGAGTGCGGCGGGCCCGGAGCGGCCCCGCTGGGCCCGGCCCGGCCCGGCCGTGACCGCCCCGCGCTCTCTCCGCAGGGAGCCGCCTCCTGAGGGGCCGCAGCGGCCACGTCATCATCCGCTTCGCGCTGGGGGGCTGCACCAACCGCCCGTTCTTCCGCATCGTGGCGGCCAACAGCCGGCGCGCCCGCGACGGGAAGTACCTGGAGCAGCTCGGCTGCCTGGACCCGCTGCCCAACGCGCACGGCGAGAAGGTGGCGGGGCTCAACCTGGAGCGGCTGCGCTACTGGCTGGGCTGCGGCGCGCAGCTCTCCCGGCCCGCCGAGAAGCTCCTGGGTAGGCCCGGGGGGAGCGGGGATGGATGGGTGGGGGCGGGCGGGCCGCGCTCGGTGCCGCGCTCACCGCGTCTCACCGGGCAGGGCTGGCGGGGTTCCTGCCGCTGCACCCCATGACGGTGACCGGCGCCGAGAGGCTGCGCCGGCGGCGACAGCGCGAGCAGCAAACAGAGGCTGCCCCTGCGGAGGGCTCGGCCGAGACCCTAACCGACACCGGAACCGGTACCGGAACCGCGCCCTGACACGGCCCGGCCGGGAGGGGCCCGAGCGGCCCCGGACTGCTCCGACCCGAGTGTGCACTGACTCGGGACTGCACCGGCCTGGGTGTGCTCTCACCCGGGACTGCTCCGGCCCGCCCGGGCCCGAGGTCTCTCCCGCCCTCCCGGTCCGTCTGACCCCATTAAAGCGTTACCTCTGCACTCTGCACCGTCCCTCTGCTGCTTTCTCCTCTCGGTCAGGGCTCACCATTGCCCTGTGTGGTGCACGGAAGAGGCTTTGCTGCTCTCCTGCAGCCGCAGGAGCGTTCCAGCAGGGAATTCCCAGCTGTGCTGTGGTTCCAGGTGCTCTCCCGGTGCCCTTGGCCAGCTCCTCCTGTCAGAGTTCTGACTCCTGGCTGTGAGTTACTGTAACAGGACAGTGCAGCGGCTCAGGGCAAGCCTGGCACAGACAGATGCAAACAGAAGTGCAGCTGGTTTTCTGCTTACTCTCCTGAGAGGTTCTGGGGCTGTTTGTTCATTTAAAAGCAAAAGAGAAAGATTTCAGTCTCTTGTAACTCACTGCCCCAGTCCCCCTTTACAAGTCCTGCTGTTTAATCCCATATTTGACCCACCCAAGTCTCTCCTACCTCAGATGGACCCCTGAGCTTTTGGGGTTTCTTCTGTGCAACACTTAAATGATTCTAAAAATGCCAGGCAAAGTTTCCAGTGTTGCATCTCAATGAAGCTGTTAGTGTAACCAACCTCTGAGGGAGGGAAAACACATTAAGAAATTACACATATTCTTTTTTTAATAAAGTGTATCTCCTATAGAGTGCAAGATGCTTAATTACTCATTTGTAGAAAATAAATTGTCTAGAGAACACTTAAATACTTCCCAGTATACCTTATATATAATAGATACATACTATATTTATATATATAAATTTTATTCTATTTTATTCTTGAAAAGTTTTATTTTCCAACCAAAGAACAGCAGAAGTTCTGAAATCAGGAGGTTTTTCTGAGTGACACAGCAGAGGCTGGGTGAGCTGCAGACATGCTGAAGTGGTTACAGGTGTAATTTTTAATTACAAACATGTGAGAACCAGTTAGGTCTTTTCTCCATCCCTCTCCCCATTTTCCCTGCTTCTGAACAAGTATAATAAATACATTTACAAACATCAGAAATAATTGCCATGAAGCAACCTTTAATGATATGGACTTAATCAAAGTTAACCTGAAAACCAGCACCGTGTAAAATAATTTTCCTGCCTAAACTCATGCATCTTTTTTTTAACTTGCAAATTTAGCCAGAATATTTGAAGCCTGTGGATTCCAGAGGGGGAACATCACGTTGCAGCTCACAGCTCACCAGTGACCATACACAGTCATTTCTGTAAAATACAAAATGTCTGACAAAGAAAAGGATCAGCAAGTAAGCAATGCCTCTTTTTAAAGTTATTTCTGAGGATTTGGTGCAACTTTTAACTCTGCATGATGGTGACAGGCTCTGGTTTTTTATTCCAGACACCACTAGTATTGCTCAAAGCCCCAAATTAACACACACTGATGTTGACTTAAAAATCCTGGGTATGCACCACTACATAAATACATATACAAAATAAAGTCCATATCCCATAAAATAAAAAATTTAATATAGAGTCCATTGGGCATACAGGCATAGCAAGAGTTTTATAACTACATAAATGTAGTTGATATTATTTACAGAGGGAAATGGAGACAAACATTATAACCAAATACATTGATTTATGAATTTTTTGAAGATTTTCACTTACAACAAAATGATCTGCAACTCCAGCAACCTGGAAAAGTAAAGTGCTCACAATCCATTTAGTGCAATAATGCTGGCTACATAAGAGGAGAAAAAAAAATTAAGAACCAATACCAGATTAGCTAGTGGGACCAAACAAAAAATAAGTTTTGAGTTTCAAAGTTTGAGAAGGAAGAGGAATTAAGATTACATAGCAGACTAACAAGAAAAAAATAATTCTCCAAAGTCAAGTGTTTAGATTGTCAGAAGTGCCCAATGCCATTGTTTCCATGTTATTTGTCCCAGCTTTGTCCTGAACATTCTTGGGGACAGCTGTCCCCTAATGAAGGGACTGGCACAGAAATTCCTGCAGATGTGACACCGTGTAAGCCCAAAGAGAGAAATGGAAGGTGAATGCACTCATCAGTCTGACAGCTGACAGGCCTTTATCTGAGTGCTTGACTTCATCATTTCAGCAGTATTCCTCTGTTTAAATCAATACTTGCTTCTAAAATATAAAAATTGGGAGCAGATGATAAAAATGAGGGGTTCTTACCAATTATGTATAATTCTTTCAGCACTGGATTACAGTAAACCACAACAACTCAAGATTACAGATATTATTTCACCTTGGCATCACAGATCAGAATCAGGTGAAAAGTGGAGTCCAACCCATTTAAAAGGAGAGACTCTCCAGAGAAAATCCTTCCTCTGGATCTAGGGACCAGATCTAATCCCTGCAGGGATGCCATGCTCAGCACATGGGAACACAAAATGCCCACCAGCCCTGGCAGGACTTGGCTGCCTCCCCAAATACAGAGGCAGACTGACAGGGGCTTCACAAATCCTTTTATTAATTACTTAAAATTAACTCCTGGCCTTAACTAGAACTTGTAAAAATTCTCACACACCACCTTCTAAAATCAGAATAATTAAGAAATCTCTCAGGCAATGAAACCCAAAGCCCTTTTACTGGTTTCACTGAGATGTGGAAGATGCAGCTGTCATTGACAAGCACTGAGCCACTGATCCCCAGACTTCAGAATGTCCCAGGGTAAAATTGTAGAAACAAGAATGATGTGATGCAGGCTTCCATACAAATGATTTTTCTTATGAGTAAAGTTGTTGAGAGTAACCTTCTGCCCAAGGGACGAGATGGGAAAAGACCTTTCTCCCCAAAACTGGGTTATGGACAACTGCTGAATTGGATTATGGACAAATCCTCCTGCTAAGTCATCACAAACTCCCATAGTCTTAATTAAACTCTAATGAGGAAGGGAATATGCACATATTGGCAAACATCACCAAGGAGCACAGCCAGGACCCCCAGAGTGGGGTGTGGGAGCCAGGCCACAGTGCTGGCAGCCCACAGAGGTGTCTTGGAGCAGTTCTGCTGGTGGCAGCTCTGTGCACCCAGAAATAGTTTTAATAAATGCCTTAAAATTAACTCCTGGCCTTAACTGACACCTGACAGAGGACTGACACCACCCAAGCAAGACCAGCTGCTCTCAGCCTTCCCAGAGTTTGAAAAGCACCCTCCAGAGCCAGGGCAGAGGCTGCAGGTTGGAGCTGCGGCCCCCTCAGGAATCAGCACTGCCCTCGGTGAGCAGGGCTGCTCTGCCTGGCCGGGAGGTGGCACCTTGTGTCCCCAGAGTGGCACTGTCACCGTTCCCACGGTGGCAATCTCTGCAGCAGTGCCTGCAGCCCAGCAGCGACAGAGGGAGCTTGTCCCATGCAGGACATGCAGCCAGCCCGGGACAGCAGCACCAGGGGCACGGAGGGCACCCCCAGCCCCCTCTGCCACCTCGGGGCAGTCACAGCAGTGCCAGCGCCGCTGCCTCACCCCTCACCTTCCCTCCGGCAGCAAAGCCAGCACAGACCTTTCCTTGTGTGTGCCAAGCCCCTGCTGCCGTCCCAGGGGGCACAGCCCGGCCTGTCGCGATAGGGAGGCCGAGGGTGAGGCCAGGAGGCAGCAGAGGCCGAGGCAGCTCCTCCCGTTATTGGTTCCGTGCTCGGGGCAGCAGCGGGCGCTGCTCCTCCAGGGGCGGCAGCTCCTCGGGGGGCAGCAGCTCGTAGGTGACACAGAGGGACGAGAAGAGGCAGCCCAGGAAGGACACGAGGCTGGAGAAGTACATGGCACTGCTGGCACTGCCCACGGCCGCCGTCAGCGGCCCCATGGCCACGGCCACGAGGATCTGTGCCAGGAAGTACTGACAGCTCAGCAGCGAGATGTCAACGCCCATGCCACGGCGAGTGCCCTCCGACTGCGAGCCGACAAACTGCGGGGACACAGCCACAGTCAGGGGACACGGGGGATAAGGGCACAGAGTCAGGGGACACAGCCAGAGTCAAGGGACACAGGGGACACAGGCACAGAGTCAGGGGGTGCCACAAAGTCAGGGAGACACGGGCACAGAGTAAGGGGAACACGGGAGACATGGGCACAGAGTCAGGGGAACACAGGGGACAAGGGCACAGAGTCAGGGGACACAGAGTGAGGGGACACAGGCACAGAGTCAGGGGATTGTTCCGGGGGACACAGGTACATAGTCAGGGGGTGCCACAGAGTCAGGGGGACACAGCCACAAAGGGGGACACAGGCACAGAGTCAGGGGGACACAGGGGACAAGGGCACAGAGTCAGGGGACACAGGAACAGAGTCAGGGAACACAGAGTCAGGGGACACAGGGAACAAAGGCACAGAGTCGGGGGACACAGGAACAGAGTCAGGGGGACACAGGGGACACAGGCACAGAGTGAGAGGTGTCTTGGGGGATACAGCCACAGAGTCAGGGGTGTCCCGGGGGACACAGGCACAGAGTCAGGGGGTGTCACAGAGTATGGGAGTCCCAGGGAACTCAGGCACAGAGTCAGGGGGTGTCCCAGGGCACACAGAGGGATGTCCCGGGCTCCCAGCCCCTCCCGGCCCGGGGCTCACCTCCCGGCTCTGGTAGTAGTCGCAGAGCAGCGAGTAGGGCAGCGTGCAGAGCGTGGCGAACAGGATGCCGTAGGTGGCGCACAGGGACAGCAGCACGTAGACGTTCCTGGAGAGCGTGGCCAGGCCCGTGCCCAGCCCAAAGGCCAAATACGCCACAAAGTACAGGGTCCGTGTGCTGAAGCGCTCCTCCAGCTTCTCCAGCACGGCTGCAAGGAAACGGGACAGCTTTGGGGAGACCTGCAGCCCTCCCACTGCCACCCCTGCTCAGGCAGCCACATCCCAGTGGCAGCCCCTGAGGAATTGAGTGCCAAGGACCCTTCCAAAGCTGGCTTCCATGATGCAGCATTGCTGCCCTGTCTGCTCAGAG